GGATTGAGTGTAGTTCAATGGGAACGATTGCACTGCACTGCAGTCATTGATTTGCAGTGAATTGTGTTCACTATCAAACTCGAAATAAGGTTATGCCCAAATCCCAAATACTGCACATATGCCCAAATAGCGCCAGATTATAAGGATTCCCAAATAAGATTATGCCTAAATACTGCACATATGCCCAAATAGCGCCACATTAAACAAAAGAAAAATCACGATTACAATTTCTCAACGGGCTCACATGCGTCTTTTTTTGCAATCAAGGTCGCCGAGTATCAAATTTGGTAAATTAAGTAATTGCAAATACAATTCAATATTCAATACAACACAACTTTTTGCAAAAAGAGCGCCTGAAGATAAAATTACGCACGAAAGTCAACTCTTTACATTACACATTGCACTATGTCCACACAATTCCTATAAAAAACTAATGTAGTCGACGAATTATGTGCATTATTGGACTTGAACACTACTTGAAACCTCTTTATGACAAAGAAATAATCTCTCAACAAATGAAGAATAATCTTCATACAAAACTTAATAAATACGATCGCACGCAAATTGTCAATTAATAGAGCGGGTTAGCGCAATTAATTATATTAGTTACACAAGGGTAGGTAAGACGTCCCTCAAACTCACTCAGTCATATTCTATTTTTCTCGTCCTAAGCGTTGAAATTCCGCTACTAATTTTCAAATTAATAGTACATGATAGCCCTATAGGCTAAATTTTTGGGAGCCTTGGAGAGAATAATTATAAAAGGTAAAAAGAATTTTTAATTTTCGTCCTAAGAATCGTCCATTACGACTGAGATTATATTTATACTATTAGAGAGATGAAGGCGCTAAGAGGAGGCATGGCCGGTGATCTACGAAGGATGCTTGGAGAAAGTTTAACGATATTCCAAAAATTCGAGTCCAGAGAGAAGTTTTTGGCGGCTGCATACATGCAAATTAGCTTTGAGCAGCCTCAGTCCAGTTAACTTTTGGCAGCATTATGATAGTCACAGGATTGCTGTTGGTGTGCTTCATTTAAAGATCTTGCATAAGAAATTCTGGAGTATAAAGTTCGATTTTTTTCGTTACAAAATTTAAAATTTTTTAATTAAAAAAACAAATGTTTTCGGATTTGTAAATTTTATATACAGGGAATAAAACATTTAATGTTAAATCCAGACAGTGAATTCGCTTGTCAGGGCAACGTTAGGAATTTAGATACGTTGTACGTGTAGGCAAGTAATATCGGGGTAAGAATGTAGTTATATTGTAATTAATTTCTGCAGGCTTCACTACAAATTAACAACATAGATGAAAATTTATGTTGAGATTCAGGTAGACCATTAAAACGCCATCGAGTGTTGAGAATTAAATTACTGAATATTTTTAGATGAAAATCTCTGGTATTAATGATTACTTGCGAATTACATCACAATAAAAAAATGAACTAAATTAAAAATCAGGAGTATCTTGAAGGATCATTTCTGCAACACGCCGCAATAAACTAACGAATTCAGTCACTGTACATAAGAGGGCTTCTTCTTAAGCTGCCGCAGCCAATCCAAAATAGACAAAATCCTGTCTTTTCTTCATTCGATTCCATGATCTGCAAAATTCTTGACTTTGGTTTCCTGGTACACGCTCTTCCGCTGAGGTGCTTACGACGAAATCGTACCAAAGAAGATTTGAGGCTTTCAGAAAAATAAAATTATTCAACTTCACGTACGCCCATTTATCCTATACATAAAATACATTTTTTCGCAGCAGATTTATTCCTCCGGGCTGGTATACATTTTATACACGTGTAAACATTAAATCGTTCACAGAGCAAAACTATTGCATACAGATTAGTACCACCAAATAAATGAAGCGATATCTGTTCAGAAATTCTTCGTCTTCGATTGGAAGAGAGAAGCAAAATATTCACGAAAGAATTTAACCATTTCAATAGTAACTTTAGCAATTGTGCAAAGTGCATTATAACTATTAACTCTTCTTATTTATAGTATATTGATTTCATATTGATTATCCAGTAACGTTAAAATAAAGTAATTCTTTAGTGTGATTTACGAATAACAGATACGATTTGTGATGCAAGAAAGTCACGCAGTTGCCATCGTTGTGGCGGTCACTGAACCTTTGCGTGCAAGTCGCCTGAGCAGCAGCGTAATTACATATAATTAGCAGCCTCGACATATCGAGTGCCTGACACTCGTCTTGTGCACTGCATGGCAAGTCATCCCAAAATTGCTCGAGTAAATCAGTGCGAGGCAAGAGATTAGTGTCATACACTAAGATGGATAGTACCATTTTAAAATGCAGCTATACCGGTAATGATTTAATTAGCCATGAAAAATCAGCCTTAAATTACGTGAGCCCTGTTAAAAAATATCACTTTGCTGAATATAAACAAAACGCTGTTTTTCTCCCGGGCATATTCCTCAGACGCGAAACGCATGGCCAGAAAAACAGAAAAACAGCTACCACACCATAAGTAACGACAACACGTTACGTCTGGCTCATCACTGAAACATGACTTTCTTTTATACAGCTATACAATAAATAATGCTAAAATTAAGAGCTAACCCAGAGACAGCCATAGTGATATTGTAGTAAACTATCTATATGCTAATTTCTTGATGTTGAGTAAAAATATTCAATTTGGAAGAGATATGATTTTCCACTGATATGGCAGATTTATAATTTGTTACAGCAAAAGCCTGTTTTATGAAAATGTATTGCGTACCTAGGCACAAAGTAAAATAAATGAAGATCCAACTTGGATTGAGCTAAAGTCGATCCCGTTGAAATTTTCCACACGGTAGTCAATAATTTAATTTTTTCAGTAATTTATAATGACAAAAATAAAATCATTTAAAATTCAGGCTCTTCTTTACATCTCAAGTGCAACTGTTTTTGCACCATCATCGTATTACCGCTGGTTAATTTAGATGTAGAACACGTTCATAAACTGGTCTCGGAAACAAGATCACTTCCTTCTTTATGCCTTTTAATAATAAATCTGGCCTCTGAACTCATCAAATGAGGCTCACGTGATAACAAGAATTCAATGATAAAAAATAATTTTGATGCTGACGGTATGTTCGGTTAAAAAATTTTTCGCGAAAGCAAAATATTTTATTGAATTTTCAAACTTTTCATTAATTAAAACAGTACGTCGGCCATTACAGTTCGTTACGTAAAATTAAAACTCCATTGATATAGTGCGATGTAAGATAACTCTAGCTAATGAATTGTTATATTAGGATTGTTATATTGAATCTAAGTAAGTGCAATGTAAGATAACTCTACCTAAGAAAACCCATTAAAAATTGAAAATATTTCGAAATTTTCTCACGGTTGACGCATTTATAAAAAGCAATCAAAGAATCGTAACATTAGCACAACAAAGGCCAATTAATGAGTCAGGCGTGTGTCCCAGCATAGGACAGTCAATAGTTAGTTATCTACGAGACTGTCCTATGTTTTATTATGGCCCCTTTATCACTTGTTGTATTTAGGATCAATTTATTTTATGTTTTATTAGAGGTCACTTTATTTCATGTTTTATGTATGATACAAAGATAAGGCAATAGGAATTTAAGGTGTCCTTCCTCACTGGCGCTGATGCAAAAATGTTATAATAGGCGTTTGTTGAGAACCTCCCACCTCATCGCAGTTTATAAGACGAGGAAAAAATACAGCTCAGCAGCTGGTAAAGCATCCGTTGCAGGAGTAATTTCCTGCATTAATGATATCATTAAACGAATAGAAGAATATTTATTATCATATAATACAAAAATTATATATACTTAATGTGTCGCATCGTATGCTTTTATTTTTATTTTCTCGACAGTGAATTGGAATTTCCTCGTTTTCTCGACAGTGTAACCATCTCATTAGGATATTTAATAATAAGGGAAAGATTTTATTTCCATAATTCCTATTGTAAACCTTTTCTCTTATATGATGAAGTTCCGAACAAGTTCCGTTTTCCGTGTCGTCCTTACGACAAATTAAATCATCAAACATTCAAAAGTCAATCAAAGTTGATTTTCGACTGTTTCAATAATTACTGAACGACGCTTCATCAATGCAATTAACTCTTAACTCTAGGGATACTTCTATCTGTGCGTATCTTGAGAGTTAATTAGTATGTTTTCTATGTAAAACTTATAATAAGTGAGAAATTATCATCAACTTTGCCTAAACATGTTGCAAGAAACAAACAAATTGCCTTCTAAGTTCGCAGGCAAATAATCTAATTTAAATCATGTATGGTTGATCATTGAGTGGATGAAAGTTCGATGATTTCACAAAGCCCAAGTTACGATCGAATGAGTTTTCCAGTCCACGATTACGATAAGCCTTTCTATCCAACAAATATTAAATATATATAATTAATTTAAAAACCATAACGGCTCAATGGAGAACTCTACGAGACGAGCCCAACAAACGCTCTAAGAGACCTTTAACAAAAGTGTATCAATATCCATCGAAGCGCTAATATAATCGCTATTCATCTTTACATAATAATTTAATGAACGACACCATATTCCTCTATTTGACTGCATAAGTTGAATCTTACAGCGACGGAACTCATTACAAACCATGTTAAAAACCATGGTAGTTCTATTCTAATTAAGATAATGAGAGACAACTCACCCAAGTCTCCCTCCTTGGTGATGCAGGCGCCGGTCTGGGACCGTTAATAATAAATGGCCTCGATGATTTCTTTCAGATGGACGGGGACTAATTAATCTTAAAGACAACTCACCCAAGTCTTCTTCCTTGATGATAAAGGCGCTGGGCTGGAACAGTTAAGAGTACATAGCCTCGATGATGTCTTTCCGCTGGACAGGGACTAATTAATCTTAAAGACAACTCACCTAAGTCTCCCTCCTTGATGATCCAGGCGCCGGGCTGGAACTGTTGAGGGTACATGACCTCGATGATGTCTTTCCGCTGGACGGGACCTAATTAATCTTAAGGACAACTCACCCAAGTCTCCTTCCTTGATGATCCAGGCGCCGGGCTGGAACTGCTGTGGGTACATGGCCTCGATGATGTCCTTCAGCTGGCCAGGGTCTAGGCCGAGATGTTTCAGGAAGTCGTTGTCGTTGATGGCATCCTTCAGTAAACTCTTCGTTCTGGAAAAGGCATCATATAACAAAACATATAAAAAACTAATGGTACGAAAGTAAAATTTTCATAAAAAGAATTGTCAGTTAATATATCTGATAAAACAAACATACGGTATTAAATAATTAAGAAACACGAGATACAACTAATAAACATTTCGTTTATTGCATACGGTATTTAGAAAGCCAATAAATATTTCACTCATGATAAGAATTGCAGGAATTAATTTTTAATAGACAATCGAAATTTCTATTTTGTCCGCAAATAATATATTTCTAAATAAATTTGAACAAATTACAGCAATCTCAAAAGACTTTAAAGTTATCCACGTCATATTGAAATACGGAATATTACTCGACAATTAAAGTCACATATATGCAAGTCCCATTATAGACAAGTGCCTCTATTATGTCTGAAAATTCAAACTTCGACATTAAATTTCGTATAATAATCCATGTGCAACGAGTTCCTTCTCAAGTTATGGCAATTGTACCGCCAAGATGCATGAAATGCAGAGACAAGGCTGAAATGCTTCTCGCATTACTGCGCCGTAATACCGAACGTCTTTTAACTGCTAATAATTATTCAACCGACATTTCATGCATTAATTGGAAATAGCTTAAAACTATTTCCAATTTTGACAGAATAGCTGAACGCTTCGAAAATTACGCTCCGGCAGCGTTCGCAAATATTGAAATACTAAAGCAACGCAACTCCCGTGAAATTTTTCCTAAATTTTACTCGCACTTCCAGCTTCCATCATATATTTTCCATCTGTCGATTGCAAGCATTAGCAGTACTTTTCCAGGAAGATCAATCGACAGCGACATAAAGCATGGTCAGTGAACTTGAATTTGCAGAGATTCCATCTCCGAATATTGCATCACATTCATATTCAGGAATTTCAATTTTTTATGCGTAAAATAAATAAAAAATGAGAAGACCTAACTGCGAGACAATAAATACGAGTCTGGAGAGATAAAAAGTCGTATTACCTATGACGTGCGGAACATAATAAATTAGGAAAATACTACACGTTACACTTTAAAGTTGATGAAATATATTGAAGCTTCATATATCGATGATGCAAAATATCACGTCTCAATGCAGATATATAGATAACAATTTAAGTAGCTATTACACATAATTTCATCATTATTTTGAAATATCGATATCAAATATCTTTGTTTTTAGATCAGTCACCGCGAAGGAACACAAAATGAGGAAATTTAGTACTCGAGAGAACAATAGATTGAAAAATTAGTTTTACAATAGCTCGTTACCTTCCACGGAACTTGGCATCTTCATGTTGACTAATAAAAATTAGGAACCCGAACTACATTCAAACAGGACATTAATGAAATTCAAGCTACTGAACTATAAGAAAGCGACTTTTTAGTGACTCGAGATAAAAGTTTCACTTTGCGGGAGAGAATATAAACTAAAACCATTTGGCGAAATAATTCGTCATATGATATGATAAATGATGATTTGATGATAAATAATTACATGCAGGTTAATCTTTAGTGTATCCACTTTTGAAATAGAGAGAAACGTAAAAATTTTCGACCATCGTTACTCAAACACGAACGGAGCTGCGAAACTATAAATATAGTTACTTAAATGTTCGAAGCGAAACCCGTAGACTTCCGATCAGTTAATTCACTTTATGTCTTCAACGGGTTAATTGAAATGGCAATTCCTTAAAATAATACGGGCAGTGCACATTCCGAAGCCCAGGTATTTTAAATTGGGGCTGGATTAATTAAGAGATACGAACCAAATTACTGGAATTATTAATCCCAGCTTATTAATATAGATGAGATTTAAGTCGAAAAGGCTCGCATTGGCAACAAAACCATAGAAATTGTTCTAAAATTATAGAAAAATCTATGAAGTGTTCATGAAAATGCAACTATATCACATTATTAGCATACATTAAAGGAGGGGAACGGATAGGGGGAAGAGTTATATATGAATTAACGCGTGTGGCTAAAATAAAACATTTCTAATTCAAATACTATGAATATCGTTAGAGATATAATAATGCATCTCACATCCAATACAAATGCATCTGCAATAGACATCTCTATCTGTAATCCAAAACTGTCAAACCCGGTTGACTATTATATGACAACCATCATCCGCCTTTACCTCGAAAAAAAAAACTCAGTACTCACTGCAGTGAGTGACAGAGAGCGCATTTTCTTGTCGACGAAAACGTGAAGTCACGGACGGACAGACGGACATGGCGGGCACAATAGTGCATTTTTTCCACAAATGAGAAAATGCGCTAAAAAGAACGGAAATAAAGGCATCACCTTAAATTTGCTTGCAATGATCAAAGACGCCAAGCTACCAGCCACATTCACGGGAAATGTTTGAAGATGCAGTTTCTTTTGGGGGCGCTGAAGCGGATCAGCATAAAGCTATTTGCTTGTTTGTCCTCTCAGTGTCAGCTTGCAGGGACCGGAATATCAGCATCACATTGTTAGGGAAAACTCGTATGTTATCATCTTGCGTGTTATTTTAATAGAAATTCATCGATTATATTTATTGTTCGTCGCCATTTTAGTTCAGATTTTAAGGAAGTGGGAATGCAGAAGGTGTGATTTACTAGATTATTGTGCGGTGTGAAGCCCGAACTGAGGTACGTAGTCCTGAAGTGCATCATTCGGTTATGATATGTGGATTGATGCAAATCGATGTTTATAATTTATTTCTGTTGCGTTATTTAATATGTATATTCATTACTTTAAGTAACTAGTCAGAAGTTTGATTACTCATTACTAAACTTTACTACTAAATCACTCTCTCTTTTTAATTACTAAATTAATTGTCCATTTTACAACCCTTCTCTTTAACTCCACTTCTTGTTTGCCTATTTGTCTGTTAGTCTGTCTGCTACAAATCTTGTAATCGAAATTTAACACACTTCTACTTATCCTATCGATCTGAAATTTTGCACACTTGCGTAAAGATGGAGACAATGCAAGAATCAAATGGCAAAATAAATAATTATATAAATAAATAATATTTATCGTAATAAATAATTTAAAAAACTGAAATAAAATTTTGTCAGCTACAAATGTTATAATTGATGTTTGACACACTTTTACCTGTCCAATTGATCTGAAACTTTGCACACTTGCGTGAAGTCGGAGGCAATGCTTGAATCAATTGACAGAATAAATAATTTTTAGAAAAAAATTTATATATAAAAAATTGACATATTAAATTTTTTAATATTCGAAAATATAATGAAAAATTCATTGTACATCTTTAACATTGGAAACACTGGATTCTTTAGAAGTGTTGTCTTTTAAAGGAATTTTTAAACGTATATTATTTATTACTCATTTAGGAAAGCCTCAAACCAAAGACTTGATACCCGAGACTTAGTCTTCTTCTCCAATATATCAGTTTGGCCATCACGTGGATTGTTTATTCTATAGTTGATGGATTGTGCAATAAAGTGATTTTAATTGCAACCATCAGTGACCAAATGACTCTATTCGATTATATAGGCCGAGGTGGCGTGTTGGTGACCCCAACAACTTGTCAGCCCGAGTTATGCCTTCACGTACACATCCGCATGCCTACCCACACTCAACTTTCCTCATACATGCAAGTATGAAAGGTGAAATGCGGATCCAAAACCGCGGCCTGGATTTAAGTCGTCTGCGCGCCGTGGTTTAAATACACTGCAAATACGTCATATACAATACATCGGACGACATGCGATTCGGACGACATCGGACGATTGAGCAATGCTTTAACTTAAACCCATTAAATGGCAAATAAAGATTGAATTTAACAGATTTAATAAAAAAATTATCAAAATGTTACGTTCAGTCAGGAATCCTTTTGTACATGGCAAAAATTTTGAAACTTGAATTATTCAATTGTATAATTATCAGAACTGATAAAACTATTTCATTTATCGTTACCCACGCTAAAACAGTTAAAAAATACAAAAAAATTGAAAGTAAAAGTAGTAAATATAATTGAGAAACTAAGCCTACGATAAAATGAGCATGATTCTAACCAAAGATTTGGAAAATGTCAAATACTTTCACCTAGGTCGGGACAAGTGAGACTGATATGAATGTAGTCATGGATTTTCATTTTATCTCTGATTCATTCTAAAACGGATTGGTATAAGTAACTATGTCATTAAAGAGGTACAGGTACACAAATCAGACCATCAACCGTCAGGCTGACTCCTACAATTCGCAATACATAGCTGTGGTCGTGCAAGCCACTGGAGGAACTTATTAAAGTGTCCAGCTCTTTAATAGACGTGGTGCTTCAGTCCAGAGCGAACTCTTGTAAACTGTCCACTCAAAATCTGAGGCAAGTCCCAGTGACCCAGTGGACTCAAAGCTAACGAGATTTGCTAGTAAACACTTGAGAATTTGCATCCACCATCTACTTTCTGACATATATGACATCGAATACATTTCATACACCAAATTGTGTTCAAACGAAACTACAGCTATATAAATATATGAATAATAGATTCATCGCCTTATCAAAATAAAATTTATAAGTCGCGGTAAAGAGTCATTAATAAATTTTTTTAAATTTATATTTATATTATAAAAATTTCATTTTACAGTAAAAGTTTTTTTTACGCCGATCTTCGTTCCACGCATAATACACAATGATACCCAACAATTAAATGAGATAGAATTAATATTTTGATCAATAATTTGGTCATGAGTCGTTCAGCATAATGCAAACAAACTACGAGTAAGAAACCACTGCAACGTTAACCAGGTCCGGTACTGACATAAATAATTATGTAATTAACGTAATTATAACGATATCAGCGTATTAAAAATCAATCAGAACAATCGTAATTAAATTGACACAAATGAATAGTATTACCGTAACATTACTTGGCATACGTATTACTAATTGAATCGGAGGATTAGGTTCATAGATCTTATTACAAATTTAAGGCGCAATATGATTCCAGTAAGACGCCGTCTTGATCACACAA